TTTACTTATTTTGGTGCTGCCACGTGGTGGCTACAAATTGTACTAGTGTCGGGACATTTAGCCTTACGCGAACTAAGGCCCAACGAGTTTCAAACGGATATTTTGATTTTTGTAGGCACTTTACATGAAATGTTAACATTTATTAACATATGTTAACAAATGTTAACAATGTTCAATTTTTTTTCAAAAATTACTCTTTATTAAAGTTTGCCCTCGTCTATTTATTTTATTTTTTGTTTAAGTAGGACTTATTTCTAGAATCTTTCTTAATTCTTCGAGGTAGCTTCATGTTTCAACGCTTACTCTGTTCGACAAGGGATATGCATCTTATATGCTCATAATTGGATTAAATATGAAGGAACTAATTAATTTGAGAAACTGCTTAATAATAAAATGAGACTCCACTATGCACGAAGACTGAAATTCAAGTAAGGTGTCTTTTTATACCGTAAGGCTCAACACTTTAACTGCTGAGGTGGACGTTTTTTGTCATTCAGGAGTGTCAATTCATTGCGATCTGGCATTGCATTTAAGCGTTGTGTTGTAATAAAGCAAGTGTTGAGTATTTCAATTTAAACATTTTTATGATGTTGAGGGTCTCTAAGATCACCAATTGGAGGATCACCAATTGGAAAATTTCTTGCCCCCTTGATGTTGTGTGCGAAGGCAGAGTGGTGTTAGTTGAGGGTGAATAGGCGTCCCGTTTTTAAAGGGGTTGTCTTTTCTTTCACTATGTGTCCCGTTGTCCCTACAAAATATTAACGGGACGCGAAATGCCCGGTTTTTTCGTTCTCGGCTCTTACGTCACTCTACATAGCCGCACTCTTTTTTCCGCTACTAGCCCTTACATTGCAGCAAACTTTTATTCAGAAAAAATGAGTAATGAAAAAAAAGATAATGCAGAAATTGACAAAAACTTGCTATGTCTGCCACTTATTTAAAAGTAGAGGCAATCTATGTAAGAACATAGAGGTGATGTGAGTTTTGCTCTGGTTGTACCAGACACAAATGCTGTGTCGGAAAGAGTATTTTCAATTGTGAACTCCCTTAGGATTAATAAAAAAACGTTTCACTACCGAAACTCTTCAAGCAATTATAATTTTAAAAAAAACTCCATATCAAAACGTGAGTTGTAAGGAATTCTAGAGACTGTTATTAAGTATTTCCAAACTCTTGCAAGATATCAAATGTTCTCACAAATACAAAGTTCATAGTGATGTTCCTGAATGAGAAGTCACAAATTCTTGTTCAGCAGTTGGTTATTAAAATATGTATTTGTACGTATAAAAAGTAATTTGTAATTGTCTGAGTACAGCGGTTCAGTCATGTACGAGTATGAAGCTCATTTTCATTGCAAGCGCATGTCCTGTTTTGTCCCGCTTTTCCCTTCATCATTTCAGGAAAGTGCTGTTTTACGTGATGCGAAATGTGGCCAGCCTGTGTTACGCACCAAGTACGTCACCATGAACGGCGCCGCCATGCCTCCGAGGTGCGCGCTCACGGCGGAGAAGCCTAGCGCGGTGGCCCTCTCCTCCGTGGGGAACAACTCGGCCGTGTGGACGATGACGACGGCGTACAGCGTGCAGTTGGCGACGCGCCCCAGCATTATCAACGTTATCTGCAAAGGCTGAGCCCACGTCTCGTCTGAAATAGTTCCGCAAATTTTAGTCGACCATATTTAACACGATCGCACGTTGCACTTGTAACAACTGTTGTAAATCTATGGCATGATTGACCCTTTTTTTATGAAAAAATGCCTGCAAGTTATGTAACGCTTAGTTACTTTATACTACTGTATCCAGTTGTTCGACATAACTCCATGCATTAATCAACGCATTTAATTTTTTTAAGACTATTAAAATCAAGGCAGTGAAAATAAAGATGGTGAGACAAATCGACTAAAATACGTTCTAGGAGTCCTACAATGTAGCACACACAATCCCATAGTAATTTTGAATGAGTAATTATATTGTAACTCATGTATTTCATCTATCTTTTGAAAAATTCTCTTCGCCAAACTGTTTGAAACACGACGTACTTTGTGCATTTATTAACGTACAAACCCTACATTATAAGCAAAATTTACCTTTTCGCTGCATTTAGAGCCAACAATTAATTTGTCAATGTTGAACCTTTACATACATCAGATCGACATCCAACTGTGACGCCTTTAGGATTCGTTCAATCATCAGGCAAGGTAGCGATATACATTCATTTCCTTTACAAATTTGCAAGGATCTATGAGTGTTATTCATACAACTCCAAAACTAGTTATAGCACTCCACTACTACGGCCCTCTGGACATAGACTCGATTTAGTTTAACAGCAACAGGTTTCCTACTGAAGCACTCATCAGCTAGTCCAAGAATGCTCATCGTACGTGGCTAAAAAACAAAATCATTGCCGGAGCCTAATGTCCACATGGGTTCTCCCATGGTACCTAACACGTCAAAATATAACGTTTCTTCGTAAAAATGCTCGAAAGTTCTTCAGCTTTAAATACCTAAGTTCTAAAACTCATTCATACTTTTTTACATTAAATTGATAAAATATACAAATAATATTGAAGAATAATATCAAAAACAATTTTTTTCTTGAAATTGTAGCGAAAAGTTTACCAGAACGCGTTTTACGCCTGTGACCTTTCTTGTTAAAATTAATTGACGTACTCGTACACCAACATCACATACTTTTGTATTATTGATATTTAAAAAGTAATATTATAACACTGCAATTTGAATCCTACTTATTCTTTAACCACCTCACGAACCACTCTAGCAAAAAGAAACCCCATAATTCAAATTTGCAATTTGAAAAGATTTGCAAAAAGTTCAAAAGTTGAAAAGGGAATCGAACTCATATAGAAGATCAGGAGTGTCCAACTTGTAAGGTCTCAAGGGCCACAATTAAAACCTTTAATATGGTTGCGAGCCCTATTTTCATTACTCAGGTGGGCCACACGTGGTCTCATATTGTTGATCTCGGCGGTTTTTCCCGCAGCTCTGAAACGGAGGGGGTGGTTGGAACAATGCGTGATATCCGACCGTACCGAGCATAATGCAGTGAAACATATTGGGATGATTTTGAATTTCTGAATTTACTAGAACAAACATTCTTAAATCTAAACGTAACCTATTTTGACATAAGGCAGCGCGCGTGCGCTAGGTGCACAATGCTCTCTTCCGACATGGATGCGAAGGACTTTCACTTTTGACCAATAACCTTTCGCGTGCCATAATAAATGGCCCCGCGGGCCGCCAGTTGGACAACCCTGAAGTAGATTATGAATCAAGGGAGAGGAATGCATTATTTGTCCTTCGGTATCATTGTAGCCCGAGGTCTAGGTGAGAGTGGATGTAGGAGATAAACATAACCTTGTCAAATTAGAAGCTATCGTAAATATATCAGGACAGGAGTAAGATTTAGTTGTGCCATTCCGAAAACCATTAACATATATTTTAAATTTTAGGGCTACTTTTAATGAAGCTCCTGTGACATTTTCTGAGTAAGGCTGCAAATGATTTCGAGCACATCTATTTAGTGTAGTTCCCATTTTCATTAATACATCTGACATCTTGAAAATTACAATTGTTCAAGAATTTTTCGAACCTGTCCTATCCTTCCAATGTTGAAGTCAGAGATTTATTTCTCTCAATGCAAAGTAGCCCACAATTGTAGATCTGTAAACAATGCAATGCACTTACTTAAAATTTAAGAGTAGTTGTTGAGTAATAATATTACGAGGAGGAAAAGTTTTGTTATGCCACGCATTCCCACTACTTTCTGACATTTTTGGCTGTGTATGGTGGCTATATATAGATAAATACGGGCTGAAACAATTTCTCTCTCTTTAATGACTTTGATTTAGGCTAAAGCTAGCAGCACTCACGATTTTCAAAAATGCAAAAGAGCCTAAAATTCGTGAATAAACCCTTTCATTGGCCTTTAATGTTGCGTAAGGTTTTATGGAGTTTTTATTAGTGTTTTTGGCACTGCTAGTTTTAGATTGTTATAACTATACTGAATAGTAAATTAAACTATCGCGTTAGTTGAATTGTTTTCTAAATATTGTGCCCGGCTACATTTTTCAAGAGTTTCTGACCTAAGAAAACAATACCTGTGGGTGTAGAAGCTAATGTACAAAGCGTTGAAGATATCCCTTAATGCTGTTCAATGGGAAGTCAATTGTGTTCAACGATGTTTGGATGTAGAGAAGCCAAAACGATTTCTGCAAATCTTGGCCTGGGTTGAATACTCCACCTCTCGAGGGTGTGCACTTCCAGCTTCGACAGTCTCTCGGACGACTTGTATATAAAAAAAATGCACATTGTGGTTCCCCTGCAGATGGCACACCGACCAGTGGGAAAGACCGTCAATAGACAACAGTATGATTAGTGTTGTTGCTGATGCCTCGTGTATATTGTAAATAATAATATACCCAGTTAAATAAATTTAATTAATGAATAATTGAGTAAATGAACATAAAAATAATGAATAACGTATTAATAAATTACGATGTTCGTTCGCTTTCTTATGCGTATCTATTCTGTTCATCAATCCACTGAGCATTGGATGTGCAAAATATTCTGTCTGCTGCAGCATTCGTGCTAGGTGTAGCTAGCAGAAATTCAATGACGGCAAATTTTTGCAAGTTATATCTTGGAATGCGAGGAGGTTAAGAATAAAGAATTACTTTTCACTTATGCGATTTCTAATTGATCATATTTCATGGCTTTTTACTTCATATATTTTTTTACATAATTAAATTTTATCAAAAGTTCAGCATGTGCATTTCTTTCAACATTATTTCATCAAAGCATGCTAAAATTTTCAGGTTCTCCTGAACAGAATTCCAAAGGAAACAATTGTTTAGCTGAATTCAGTTAAACGGTTACAGAGTGAGCAATGAGAGTGTGAAACTCATTTTTCAACACAATAAATGGGTCAAAATGAAAGAAATTTAAAAAATCAGTTTCATCAAGTAAACCAGTCCCTTGCAACGGATTTATTAAAACCCGAATTTTCGTTGTTTGAAAATTTTCCATCAACCTATTTTTTTAGATACCCTAATAATATTTCTAGGACTGTTGACAGTGCATTTGCAGACCTATCAATTTCTTCCATTTTTATGCAACATCAAAACGCATTCAAATTACTCGCAATAAAGTATTGCCAAAGAATCGATTTTGGATCACTAGAAATATTTTAATAATGCAAGATCTTTTTCTAGAGACGAATATAACATTTTGAACCCCATAAATATCAATAATTCGATTCATACTTCATTTTAAAATAAACATCCCTTTCACTCACAAATTGAAAAGTAGTGGAAATACTGATTTTTTTCAGTGGATTCAGAGCCTACAATGAGAATGCCATTGTGGTTTTCTCTCCATTATGTTCCGTCCGTCCACCGCCTGTACATCTGCCATCTGTCAGTCGACTTCCCGCCTGTTCACCATCTGTCCGTCAACCGTTTGTCCGTCTACCGCCTGTCCGCCAGTCCGTCCCATCTTTTCGCCTACCGTCTGTTCATCTACCTATCGTCTGTCCGCGATCAGTCTGTCAGTCTACAATCTGCCGTTTACTGTCTCTCGATCTGCCCATTTATCATTTGTCCATCCACAGTCTGACTATCTTCCGACTGTCCACCTACCGTCCGTTCATGTACTGTCAATCCAACGTCGGTCTCTTTGTCTACCATCCTACCGCCGTATTTCAATCAGTCAATCTACTCTCTGTCCGTCTAGGCCAGACCATCCACCATCTGCCCATTTACAGTATGACCTACTGAAGACTCTCGTCAATCTCCTGTTCTTCTATGACCCGTCCGTCCAACGCCTGACGATCTACCTTTGGCTATATGTCCATCCGACGTCTACCCATCTACAGTCGTGTACCGCCGTGTATCGTTTGCCTGTATCTCGTCTATCGGTCTGTCCACCCTCATTACCCGCAGAGGGAATCGCGTCTGCGTGGATGGGCGCGATGTCTGGGGGAGAGTTGGAGACGACCACCCGGACCCTGAATTTCACCGCGACACTCACGTCGTTAGTTTCAAGGTGGAGGCAGTGAGTAGGTGATGGCTGCTGGTTGCCCGGTAACCCACCAGCCAGGCCCCTGGCGCGCCGACCTTTGGGCAGGATCGGGCGAAAGACGTTTTTCGGAATGCTCCGAATATCACAGATAAACGTCTGACGGGTTTAGAGCCGGTCCAGATATCCCGGCCCAAGTCTGCTAGATACCCCCTGTCAGGTTGCCTACGTTCTGGCGGTACTCACGTCAATAACCTAAAGGTGTAGGCAGCGAGGCAGTGAGGAGTCGGGAAGAGGCTCCAAGCCAACCGAACCTTAGTTCGCGTGGTCCCCTGTTGGGCTCTTGGATTCGTCGTGGCAGAGGCCCGATGGACTTGTCCCCGGCGCATTGATTTGATTCCCGCACTGGCCTGGAAAGCTATCAGCTCTGAGCTGACAAGGCGGCCCCCACTCAGGCATTGAATGGTGAGGTTGCCATGAGGGTAAACTGCGATCCGGCGGGATCCGGATACCGGCCTTTCGTCGCCCTTGTGCGGATACAAAGGCAAGAAACCATAGATGCCCATTCATGTTGTAGTCCGAAAGAAATTTCTAAAAAAATATAAATAAACCTTATTTTGTTATGAATAGATTTTTATGTCCATATTTCTTGCACCTCTTTTCGACACAGTGTTTGTTGTTTTTAATCCGTGCCGAGGTATTAGTTTAGATTCGTAAAATTATTTTTTTTAAATGAAGGAAGAACCTTTTTGTTGTTAAGATTGTTGTATCCACAAACCCAAAACAGAGAAAATACCTAACTGTCTACCCTCTTTTTACATTGTCTGTATGCAATTATTTGCCTGTTCGTACAAGTGCGAGATGATATTACCTGCGTTGTTTCCCGATCTCTAAGAATACCACGGCCCTGAAAAAGAAACCAATTAATAAATTACTTGTTGCTTCTTCTAAATCAAATAGCACGAACATCTTTATATTATTTTAAATCTCTCACTTGTTATGGAATTTAGATAGTTCAGGAAAGGAAAGCCGAGTCCTTGCGCGTCGCGAAAGATTTTGCTCTACGCGCGAGTGCGACATTTTATTTCGCACACCTCTTTGGCAGGCTACATCGTATGTTTAAAACGCTGGGGATCTTCGTCTGCAAAGAAATTTTATCTTTCTACTCAACCAAATTCTAAGTTTTAATGTATTAAAACTCATAGAATGAACGCTTAACTGCCGACATTTGTTCATGACACCATTTTCACACATCCAACACAAAGCAACGACAATATAAAAGTAGGGAGAATGCGCAACACCGTGACCCTTTTCCTCCTCTTAATGTTATTAGTAATAATCTTGTAATTTTGTGAGTAATGACTTATTACTCATAATTATTCGATTTTAAAGTAAAATCATGACATTATTTAAAGCTCTGCAACTGAATGAAGTTATGCAGAAAACAACCATGCCCTCGTAATGAGTATGGTGATAAAATGGCTAGGAAAGTTGGGAGACGCCTTAAAATGAGCAAGGAGGCATACCCGCAGGCCTGAACGCCACTAACCTCTGGGCACTGCCAACGTGAGCATGAGGGCTACCCCGGAGCAGATGAAGAGCGACGCGCCCAGGATGCGGCGCGCGAAGAAGCGCAGAAGCACCACAGGGATGACGTAGGAGACGCCCTCCATGAGGCCCAGCAATCCGTTCATCAGGTACCTAAAATAAACGAAATGTGGAGCAGTGGGAATAATAACAAATTAATGACGACGACAATTTAAAGGCAAACATCGTTAGTTCTCTAAAAATATCTTAATGACCAGTTGATATTTTAAATTTGCAATGAAACAAGAAAATAGAAGTTAATAAAAATTATTAACAAAACATTGCAAAGAACATTATACATGCAAATATTAGGCTATAACTATTTATATTCCTTTTATCATTGAATGCTACTTTTATTATTTAATTTTATCTCGTAAAAATATGAGTTTATATGTAAAAGAGAAAATATTGAAATACAAATTATTGTCTCTCCCAACCTTTATTCTATTTCTGTTGTTTTCTACCTACAATGGCTTGTTCGGTATTTTATCCTATGTATTGAAAATCTTGTTAATCTCCTACTATACACTATGTATCTCAGGGTTTTATTTTTATAATTGATAGAATGAGTGGGCCTGAAAATTCACCGCTCATTACGAGTTCTCGGCTGATAGAATCTTTACTCGGTGAATTTAAGACTTTCTGAAGACTGCTCAGCATGTTTGAACGACGAACTAATCTTGAAAACACTTCATTTTTCATTATACTATGCAGTTTTTGTTACACATTCGAACGTTTTTAACCTTCCCTTTTCCTTACCCGAGCTAATTTCTAATTAAAACGTCAAAATTTGCACTCTCAATCGCGTTCACCATAGTTGTTGCTTCTACCAGACCATTATTCAAGAAACGTATTCTCGCAACGCTCGACCGTCTCTTACGACATCTTTCTGCCCTCTCTTTCTGCACGACCGACCTCTACGGCCTCTTTTTGCTGTTTCTCTGCTGCTTCTTACTTTTTTGTGCGATAGTCTACTGTGTGTATTTCTGGGGCAGTTCGGGCTGTAACTAGTTTCTTCTTCGAGCCTTTTACGCAACATCGTTCTTTTGTCAACCAATCAAGTATTCCCATTCCCTTCATTTTTCCGTTCATACATTAATTTATAGGGAAACACATTTAATTACTATTTTTTCCTCATTTATTTAAAATTTAAGTCAATGGGATGCAATGGCATGTGTCTCAATATAATTGTAAATGCTTACCAAAGATGTTTAATAAATAAAACCTAACTTAATATTCATAGTCCAGAAATAATTTTTGATAATCACATTTTATTAAAAGAATCATTAAATGTGAAGTGAGACAAGAAGGTAATTTTCCCCGTTAATAAGAATTATTTTTACATTCTTCCTACTGCCTACGCAGTGTAGAAAAAGTATCGCAATGCTGCGGGAAAAAGCGGTTTCGACAGAAAAACTCTTATTGCCGGGCCCTGGTAACAAAAAAGTTAATAAATCATCTTTCTTGATACAGTATTTTACTTCCTCTAACACGTGTAGTCATAGTTCATGTTGTGGGGGACCTTGACAACGAAAACTCTATTGACAGAAAACATCTGTCCATTCGCCTCTGTCTGTGAACAACGCTAGCGGCACAACCGTAGGCAGGGTTTTCTCCGAACTTGATATGGCTCATGTCGCGGTACCCTGGATTTTGAAACCGATATTTTAATTTTGGGGAATGCATACTTTACTTAAAAACCTTCGGGCATTTTTAAAAATTTTCGAAAGAATGACACCAGATTTTTTATTAAATTGTTGACCGAGGTACCATAAGTCAAAGTGCCGGTCTCATTTTCCTTAAAATCTCTGATTGTCCGAAAATTGCCAAAGTTTCCATATTTTTCGCCTTTTTCTAACAACTACAATTATGAATATCAATTTTTATTTACCCGTATACGTACATATGTATGGAGTAATATACGTAGTTTACTGAAAGTTATCTAATGTTGGTAAAAAAAAAACCTGCAAATTTTCGGCAAAAAAATTCATTGTTGGGCCTGAGAAATACAAAAGTCGATAAATCTAATTGCTAAATTATGATAAAGATCCTCAAACACACGGTGTAGCCAGAAATCCTGTTTTGTGGGTTCGTGATACCTAAAAATCGATTGATACAAAATGTCCGTCCGTCCGTCTGTCTGGTATATATGAACAACATAACGTCTAAACTATGCGTAGAATTTTTCTCAAATTCACGAAACCCTTGTCGATCTGGCCTGAGTCAAAGCTCTGTGATTTTGAAAAACATGCATTATTTTTTGGAGTACTTTACATGCAGCCCTTGGGACATTTTGAAAATTTTCTTAAACATGGCTTCAAACTTTTTCTTTAAATTTCTGGTAAGAATAGATTAAAATACACTGAATATATTAAAATACACTTATATAAGTGGTATAGGTCTGATTTTAACGGCTGACTCTAAATTCTCGAAAATTTCAAAAGTGGATTTTTTTCAGCAACTTTCCACAACTACAAAATTGAAGATACCTATTTTTTCTTCAAATGAAATTTGTTCTCCTTAATTAGTTCGTTCATTAAGGAAATCCACATTTTTGTGCGAATTTGGAAATAACAAAAACAAGATTTTATTAAAAACGATTCAATTTGTATTCTTTTAACTTTTGGTAGTGATAGTGCTAAACTCTATAAAGCTGTATACTTTTGTTTTTCAAAAATTATAAAAAAATAATTTCTGTATACGTGTCTCAGTCTCATTTTATTAGTACTTACATTAGCGGCAATTTGTTTACATGATTGAATTTATGAGTACGCTTTAAATGATGTCTGATAAAGTTTCTCGTAAACTCCAAAAGTTTTCTGTTAAAATGAGCTCAAAATTCCGCATGTTTGGAAACGCTCAAACGACATTTTCTCCAAAATGGCTCCAAATTTTTCTTCAAACTTTCTGTGCGGATAGTGCTAATTGATTGAGATTATATAAACTTAATTTTGATGTATACTTTTGTTTTTCCAAAAATTACATAAATGTAATTTAGTTCAAAAAATCTCTCACGCCGTTAATATGCCCATTTCCAGCAGTTTGTAAACATTATTATATTTGTGTGTAAATGTGCTTTAAATGACTTCAAATAAAGTTTTTTGAAAACTCAAGTTGTCTGTGAAAAAGATCGTCCAATTTCGCATTTACAGGTACGCTAAACGCCATTTTCTTTACAAGGGCTCCAGGACGAGGTTTCAATCGTCTTTAATATTCCGAAAGTAATATTTCGGTTCTACCATTAGGAAACCGAATAATCGAGAGAATTGATATATACTTTGGGAGGCGATAGATGGCGGCTGGCAAGAGGATGGGGCAGGGCCAAAAAGCAAGCCGAGGCCAAAGAAATTAGAAAACTAATATGAGCAAGTCTGTGCCATTCTCTAGCACCAATAATTTCTTAATGAAATGTGTTCATTAGAAAGAGATCTTAAAATAAGTTAATGTTAAATTTTTCGAAAATATGAATATTTAAGAGTAATTTTTCGTGAACATAAGCTATTTTACAATTTTAAATGAGTTAATTGAGAGTTTTCAGAATTGCCAAGAATTTTAACTAGAAGCTTTAAGCAAAAAAATACGTAGTTTTCTCAAAATAACTCAAAAACCGTCCAATAATAAAAAAATTATGTTACTTCAGATGTAGCAGATGCCTAAGTAGCAGATGCCTAAGTAGCAGATGCCTAAGTAGCAGATGCCTAAGTAGCAGATGCCTAAGTAGCAGATGCCTAAGTAGCAGATGTCTAAGTAGCAGATGTCTAAGCCAACTAGGGCTTTCGAAACCTACGCGTCAGTGAACCTGCATTCTATCATCTTCCAAAATTGATTTTTAACAATAATTAAACAGATTCAAAAGGCGCATGTTTACTTGTACACAACTTAACTTCTGTAAATTACATATAAGAGTACTGAGTGAAGGAAATTAAGTGGACTGACATTTTCGTAGTAATATAATGCACACTTTGCACACTAACGGCGATACCATTCATTCTACAAAAAGTTTTTAACACATTAAAATGTAGGCAATTTGATCATTTTACATTTTAGTTAATATTCAGTTAATATTTATGCAAAGGGTTACTATTTAAGTTATTCTGAGATAAAGTGCAATAATTTCCGTTTTTTCATGTGTTTTTTGCTTATTTCACCACTTTTGGCGGTGCTCTCGCAGCGAAACCGTTCGTTAAAGAGAAAATCTTTATGAAATTTAATGTATGTAATTGTATCTTCTTTTATTTCATATAGGACTATTATTTACGAAAAAGGATTGCTTTTGAGTTATTTTGAAAACACTTCAAAAAGATGTGATTTTTACACATTTTTGCTTACAAAACTTGTTTCCAGAAAAAATTATTGTTGGCAATTCTTAACACTCTCATTAAAACAACATGCTACATTCACTTCACTTTCATATTTCTTCAGTGTTGTGGACGTTTTCAAAAAGACAAATCTTAAGCTCGATGGTATCTAAAGGTAGAGGAAAATGGTTAACTCTGAACTACTGGAGGGTGTCATGAGTCACTTTATCTTAGGTTGCAAAACCTGGATTTAATAATAACGAAGACTGCATTGTAATTAAAAACATCTAAACAGTACAACTAAGAAATTCGGTATATAAATGTATTTAAAATAATGCGTAAAATACCTATTTACACCAAAATTGTCAGCATTTTGTGGGAGCAGATCGTAATTGAGATTTATAATGAACCATAGAACCAAACAAATGATAAGTCGGTGGAGCAATTCTTTGATTAAACAAAAATTTCCAATCACTTGACATGATTTTTTTAATCGCTCCTTCTTAGATTGTGGTTGTATAGGAGTGTCATCATCCTGAAACAAATAGGAAAATAATATTAGCTTAAACACACACTAACAAAACAGATAACAGATTGGACGACTATCTCTTTTTCCATCAACCTTTTAAACGATTTGACGGTTGTAAATAAAGTTCTCTCGAGTTGTCAACCGATAAAGGGTTGCGTAGGTTTCCGCGGCAGGAGTTTGTGTTATCTAGGCTATCCGGGACAAGCCGCGTCACTGACATGGTGGCTAACGTTTCAGCCAGCGTATTGTAGCTTTCTTCAGAGCGTATCAGAGCTGTAGTACGCTCAGCCAGCCGAGGCCTTCCCAAAGTCCAGAATGCATAATTTCTGCTGTATGTGGTCTACTCGGATTCCATTGCTAAATATTCGCGCACGTTGGAAATCATCTTTCATGGGCGGTCGTTGCATTAACTCTCCCTACCGTGTGGCCACAAAATTTATGCATTAAATACTTGGACATTTTATCATAAATGTTAGTAAAATAATAACCATATTTCCATATTTATTTATACGACTATGTTTCAATGCATGTGCAAAGAGAGAATTTCATATATTTTGGCAATATTTATTCTGGCCTCTATTCAGCACAATTAACTAAATATATTGCATGTTTATATTGACCGCATTGTAGGAAGTCATACTTACAGCAACATCAACGTCCACATCTTTCCAAACTTTTTTCAAAATTTTCCATGCTTTCTCGTATTTACCTTTTGTTGCAAGCCACCTGGGAGACTCTGGAATTAACCTACGAGCAAAAGAGTTTACTAATTAATACCTTAACATTTTTTTCTGCATTTACCAGTACGAACACAAAGAAGGCTGCTTCGTGCTTCATAACAGTGGAGAGTGTGCGATAGCACTTATGGGAGAGAGCCATTAAGATCAGTGTCACATTATTCTAGTAGATGCTAAAACTTGTAAAGATTAGGGTCCAATGCTGTTGTACACCCACATTGCCGTAAAGGAATAGGACATTTCGTCAGGCAACGCCTCCCTTGGGTTAGTGCTGTAGGACTTCTGGCGCGCGCGGACAGGCGAGTGATGTCTCGAGGTAATTGGGCCACCGTTCAATAGACGAAATGCGCGAATTATCACCACCCCGAGAAAAATAAACATACTTGTGCAACTTCTGAGAGGAAGATATTCGAGGCAAAAGGTGTGAGCAAAGGTCTCCGTAAAACCAAGCGTATACTCTATGCTTGGAATTGGAGAGAGTTTGTTCCTCTCGGACATACTATACACACTCTCATGTGGACCTTATGCATTATCTTCTTGCAACGCAAAAGCTGTCTGCTTCGCGTCGCTAGACATCCAGTGCTGCTCTCTGCGACGGGAAGATCGGATAGGTTTCTTGACCTAGTAAGAGCGAATTTTGACCCTTGAATTGAGCAAATAAATGAACAATCTCGGATACGGGCTTCATCAAAATGCAAGAAATATTCAGTTTCAAACTCGAATGGGGACAACGAAGAATTATAGTAATTAACGGAACGAGTGGATAAAATGGGGTGTAATTGTACGAGTAGTACATTAAAGAAAACGAGCAACGATAAAACCGAGTTTTCTTACTTACCATGAGTGCAATTTAGCCCCTTTTCTGTATGTTTCATTCAATTTTTTAATTTCCAATTAGAAATAGTTTAAAGTTTGAGAAATTCTAACATATTTTTAGCAATTTGAAGTTTACATTTGATGACCTCATATTGCATCTAAAAGAAATATTTTTGTGGATCTTGCATTGTGTACTTATGATCACCAAAGTGACAGAGGATGAACACATGTTTGAAAATGGAATATATTGAACATATTCTGGAAGAAATATTATAAGAAGCTGACGAAGCCATGATAACATTACTTCGCACGGAAAGCAAAGACAAGAATGAGAGAGAATACAATCTGTAAAATAGTTGTAAAGTAGAAAAACGAGCCATTTCTGATTCAGACCGTTGTGCTGGCGTACTTTTGAGAAATGGTAAAACAATTGACATTTATATTTTTAAATATTTGTAATTTGCTAAGACATTATTCATGTTAAATATTTTACGTTGTTTCATTAGTCCGCTAGTGTCAAAAACGTTTACTTCGCCATTTTTGTTTTAAACATTTCTTGTTTAGCCGTCGCGTTTAGCTCATTGGTCAGCGCGCTCGCTTTCCATGTTGCGACCCCGGATTCGATTCCCGGCCAGGCAAGATCATAGCGTCCGTTTTCCTTGCACGTCACGGTACATGTTGCTCTGTGACAATGGGAAAACTCACTGCTCAGATTGAGAAGACCGGAAGACGACATAGGGTTGTCTTCGTGCTAATCACACGTACCCCTTAAACCCATAGCAGCGAGGCCGGGTCACAGCTGGTAGGCCTTGGCCCGTTCGCGGGCTGTCGCGTCAAGTACAGAAAGATATTTCTTGTTTAGACGTTGTACGTAATCTGTGATGTACTAATTTTTTTGTTTATGTTCCATGGTCGACTAGAAATACCTTGCACACATAGCTGTTATAGTGACTTAATTAAACGGTTTTTATCCTTTGTTGGATTCTGATTGGCAGTGGTGGGGTTTTTATTGCACGCATGAGATTAATATAGTGATATTCAACATATTTTTCATGGAATTAATGAGTTTGTTTAATTTACCAAAGAAAAAAGTATTTCGAATAGACAAATGCCAAGCGTTTTCAAAAATTTGTTTTTATGTTAACAATCAGTCTGAAAGAGTGGGATGATAAAAAGCACACACAAGTCAGAAAAAAATATTCAATATCGGTAGTTTTGCATAATTGGAATCAACAACAAAGAATTATTTGTTATTTAATTCCTTTTTAATTTTCTGATGTTAGTTGTAAATTATGAATTAATTAATAATTAAGCATTTGTTTCTATTACGTACCATATAGATATGAAGAGAAGATATGTTGGCACCGAGTAGGCTATAAGCAAATCCCGCCACTTCGGAAGAAAGTACGCCATAAGAGGCAAGATCATTGCTCCCACAGAATAGCTGACGTTGTAAAGTGTGCCGACAGTACTTCTCATTCTCAAGGAGGACACTTCTACACCTGCGAAAAAAAATCAGGAACAGAAAATGAAGCACCAATGGCATTTCCCCCTCCCCCTCCCCTCCTTTCAATCCGCTTGGGCCACGGCGCGACTCCCTTCGAAAGGCTAGTAGGCGCTTCGCTACGCACTTCCAAGTGGAGGACGAGGTCTCTCGTTCACGTAACTGAGCCTGCGAGACAACTTTCGATGCCAAGAATGACAACAAAAAAAAGCCACGCGGACTGTATCGGCGAACGTGACAATGAGGATATTACTCGCGCAACTTTTCTTCAACGATGACCTTGCTTCCCCCTCTCTGGCACAAGAAACAGTTGAAGGCAAAAGCTCGCAGCGAGCACTGATGACAACATTCCAAACTCATCTTCGGCGGCTTCATCTTCAATAGAAACTATTTTCTGTTGGAGACGAGAACTTCTGTCCTTGATTTTCTTAAAAACGTCTAAAGAAATGACAGAAGCAGGTGAAGCTCGATCACAGGCAATACCTCAGACTCCTGAGAAAGTTAGAACGTAAATTATTGAGAAAGTTGGGAATGAATGACTGATTCTCCAGAGGTTGCCATTCCTTCATAAAAGGTAGTGGCTGACAAGGTAACTAATACCCCCACTCAACCCGCATTTCTTCAACCCATCGTTCAAGAAAAGTTGCGCGAGTAATACCACCCTTGCCGTAATCAAAACGTTCCAATCGTGGCGTGGATGTGCCACTCGTTTTCTTCCCGAATCACTGTTATAATACTCCTTGCGCAGCTGATGGCGCTTTGAATAGCAGGAACGAGAACTATCCTTTGACGATTTTGAATTGCGCCTAGGTCGGTATTACCAAGCCGTTGGGCTCGCTAAACCAGTTGCGATGTGCGACGACCGCCTCTGCCAGGGCCGGATTCAAGTATTGGGGCGCGACCTAGCCGCAAGCACGAAATTGTGTTGGCCCCTCGAAAAAAAATGTTCCATCTTTATTAAATACAATCTTATCTGAATACACTTTCTTTCTGTACAAATACAAATGAAAACTAACAATTTTACATAGTTTATATTTATTACACTAAATATATTTTATGTACAAGTTATTTTAGTATCTAGGGCGTTAAGTAGACGTTTTTGCCCCGAGGGCGACTTTTAATCCCGGGGGCCTTTGGCTCGAGCAGTTCGAAGTCGCCTGAGGGGTAAAAACAATTAGTAGCGCCCGTGGTTATGGTTTACTAGATCGTTGCTGAATTAAACGAGAATTCGAAACACTTTATAACTTTTATTGCGTCTAAAGTGAAAAGACGCATTGTACTCGTCATTTTGCGTCACAAAACAGAATGTATATCTAATTACATGGAGCTATAGGGAGGGAGCTATAGAGAGATGGCATGACATCACAAACTTGAAGCGAACACACTGACTTCTTCGATGATCACATTCTGGAAATGTTGACAATTTTTTTCTTACATTCGCTTTCAATAAAAGGACGTCATTAATTACACGTTGCATATTTTGATAATTAAATAATCCTGCTACACTCTCTTGATAATACTGCTAAAGATAAATATTTAGAACAATTCGAAATATTTATAGCACAATCACATCCTAAATTTGGATTTCCTAGAGATTGCTTCGGGTTTTCTTTACGTTTTTCGACTCATAGCACTTAAGAGTTAGTTATATATTTATAATTACAATGGTTATAATTTGTGTGCAGTTCAAAATAATAATTTTGCGGTAAATTTAGGCATTATTTTCTGTTGCACTTGACAAATGGATTTCTTTTTACACTAATATTAGTAACCAGTAACGCAAGCATTACATCTTCTGTAATCACGGCTACGTGATTTTGTAATTGCCGAAGTTTTAAATTCTTCGTATGGCTTTCTCGTATCGTGCCTTAAGTTTTCAGGATTAAATCTCGCGTAGCTTTCCGCACCGGCATCCAAAATTTCTTGAGGTAAGACGAATTTTTCACGTCCATCTTCCTCGAAGCCTTCCGGTATACAAGTGTAATTGGTTGAAAATAGATATATCGAAGCATGCACTAACAATCGATTAATCGTGCCGCAACAACGTAATTCATGTGTTTCATATTACAGTAATATCGTAAATTTTCTCAGAAATATTGAGATTTTATGGTGACCGATAAAACGCTGAACATGCCACGAAATGATAGTTGTATTTGTACGCTCGATTTTTAACTTTTTTCATCGGCAGTAATAACACTCATAACATTTCTAGGTATGTTAATAGTTATTCGTTAAAAATTCGTAATACAATCCTAACAGTATTTAACAACTTCAATTAAAAAATCCTTGATCATTCCTATTTTCCTTACCGCATTTTCAGCGTATGTTGAAACCATTACAGTAAAATCATAAAACATAACATCATAACCTTGAATCACGCTTAGATTTAATCTTAAGATGCATTTAATGCAAAAAACAACCGTTTAATCCGATCGTGACTTTGGGGGGGAAAAAACTACATTTACTTTCTAGACAAAAAATTAGGGACCGTACTTGCATTTGCTCAGTTGTAAGTCAAGAGAAACTGGACGAAATTAATTCGATTGATTAGAAAGTCTTTGGCTGTTTACAATTCATAATTGAGATTTTTGTTCTAAAATATTCAACTCCTAGTTATTTATTTTAAATTATGTTCGCATTATTGCTCTGAAATCTATTAAAAACGTTTTCTTACTTTGGAATGCTGATTTTGGTATTACTCACGCAACTTTTCTTTAACGATGTATTGAAGAAATGTGCGTAGAGTGGGGGCATTAGTTACGAAATCGTCCGCTAGACATTATGAAGCAATGTCAATCTCTGAAGAATCACTCATTCCTTCCCAACTTTCTCATTAATTTGCGTTATAACTTTTTCAGGAGTTCGAGGTATCTCTTGTGATACCTTGGATCTTCACCTGCTTCGGACATTCCTTTATTGTTGTTGTTTTTTTTTTTTAGAAAATCACTGACAGAAGTTCTCGACTTCAAGAGAAAATAGTTTCTATTTCGCGTCAGTGAAGATGTTATCAATTCTATACCACACATCAGCCACTACAACCTCGCCTCAACAGACTGTACTCCAACACGAATAAAAAACTGTTACCCTTTAAATGTCTTCCTAAACATATTTTCCAACAATTGTGAATAGTAGGCGCAGATTGTAGCTTCCTACCCCTTCCTGTAGCTAGAGTTAGTTTTTAGATAGGTAATAAGAATATTTGTAAGTCATACAGTACATATGAAAAAGTGATGTAACTGAACTATGCACTTCCGAATGAAAATAAATAAAAAAATTTAAAAAAATTAAAAAAAAGTGAAGGTGTGTTTCGAATGTTGCCTTTAGTGCTCTCTGTGAGCTTTTGCCTTCAACTGTTTATAGTGCCATAGAGAGGGACGCAAGGTCATCGTGCAAGAAAAGTTGCGCGATTAATAGCGACTGTCGTCTTCCTTGGAAGCATTTCCATTTCTTTCACAGCCGGATACGTAAACACCGATTTTCGGTTTCCCGTCTCGACTCATAATTTCCCCGTCATTTGGATCACACCATTTGAAACCCATAATCTGTATTTTATGTACAGTAATAATGTAAATATGAAGTTGTTGATAACCGCGACACAAAATGAAGATCTAATGAAGCACCGTCATTGCATAAACTAAAGCAAGATGGCTGCCAGTCTGTCTACATATTCCTACATCACAAGCAGGTAATGACGTATTGACGTGACGTCTTTAAGATTCATCAATATGGCGGACTGGCTTCACATGTTTAACACGGAAGAGATTGGTCACGTTACCTCCATATATTCATAGCTCCATTTCCAATTAGTACTGTATACTCGTTGTTGGACTGATTTGTTTATACAAAATGAAATAATATTGTGAAGTTCCTGTAGAAATTCTCGCAGAATCTAACAAAGCTACAAACATTGGTTTTCAGTAAAATATCTAGAAATATATGAAAATGATTATGGTGTATTTGAGAGTTATATGGAACATGACAGTGTGAATTTAGCTGATAAAACGGTACTTTCAGGTTATTTGCCTCTCTCGCCAAACGTTATTTTGAACATTTCATCACATTCAAAAATTACATTTCGAATATATTAGCCGATGTGCATTACACATCGTATTACTGTTAGTAGCACTCCTACTCAAGAAGCACACAAATCTGTAAAACAATATGATACGTAACAGTGAAATGTAAGTGACTGATTGGAATTATAAATTCACGAGAACATTCTAAAATTGCAATTTTCTTATGAATTAAACAAAATATGGAGATCAAAATATACAGAGTTATTTTCCTTTTTTGAGCGTTGTTCATTTATGTATTGTATCTTAATAATTAAAGAAGAAATGGAATTCATAAAAATGTTGTATGAGTAGTGTAGGCATTAGAGCGAGCCATACGGCATTCACAAGGCTCTCAGACATAAAGAAGCATCAATGACCGCAAGGGTATTAACTATACCGTTAAGTATTTTGTTTCATGTTCGTCAACACAAAGCAATGAACTAGTAAACCATAAAATATGTTACGCATATGTTTCCGAAGAGCTGGGCCCCTAATGGACGGTGGCCCCCAAGCAACTGCTTGTTTTGCTTCAAGTCAAATCCGGCCCTGGCCTCTGGGATTCCTGCGACATTGGCGACGCCGCCGTGGCTCCCTCCACTTGGACAGCGCGAAGCGAACGAAGGCGCTCTTCACCGAGCCTGCAAGGCGATTGAACTGGATTTTACCACTTCCTACACTATGTGATCAAAAGTATCCCAACGCGTCCCAAATGGTGTTAAGGTGTGGTCACGGAGGGGGCTGACACAGGCCTACATTGATGCTTTAAACAACTTCTGGCTTCCCACTGTTGAAGAGCAATCCATGGATGGCGTTTGCAACTCCCAACATGATCATACTCCACCTGTTCATACTACACTGCCTGTGGTGGAGTGGTTACTTGACAATAACATCCCTGTAATGGACTGGCCTGTACAGAGTCCTGACTTGAATCTTATCGAACACCTTTTGGGATGTTTTGGAACGCCGACATCGCGGCAGGCTACACCGTCCTACGCCGATACCTCTCCTCAGTTCAGCACTCCGAGAAGAATGGGCTGCAATTCCCCATAAACTTTAGAGCGCCTGATTATGTATGCCTGCGAGAGTAGATACTTTTGATCACATAGTGTATGTGTCATCACGCCTTGGGGTAGCAAAGAGATCTTTTTAGGCTCCCAACCCGACATCACCGCACTATTCCAGCCATCTATAACCAATTTTCGACGTATGATTATACAAAATAATACTCCACCAGTCAATGATTTCCAGATGTGTCTCTCACATAACCCACGTCACATTGATAAAGAGACCGCATCTCTTATGTGCGAATTGAAACGACTTTCCTGTTGAGATAAGAAACACATGAAATTCTATTACAGTCGTCGCAATACTTACAGAGAGTGAGACCACTGTAGTAGCAACCAGAGTTAGCAATTCCCATTGTAAATCGAGACAAACACAGTGCCCAGTATGTTTGGATTATAAAAGGAATTGCTGCAGAAATCATATAAATTGTAGATGAAGTAACAAACCCTGCTTTGCGACCAAAGCTGAAAAAAATGTATCAAACAAATATGCAAAATATCCATTGAAATAGAAAATAAATTAAGCTGTAATGTGACAACGTAGCACAAACTTTCTTGTATCATTTATAGAGATTAGATTAAAATTGCAATAATTCTATTGAAACATATACATAACCCACATTCCAGCCATTCCTTGCAACACTCACTTCATGAAACTACCTGAACAGCGGCATGTTACGTATTTTCCTAGCGTCTTCTACGACCAACTTCAAACGAAATGTTGATCTTACGGTGGACACATGGCGAAAAATCCGTTTAGAAATACTAGATCTGAACATCTAAATGACGCTCAATAGAATTTGTTGCCGTAGTATCTCTTTGCAGTGCTTTCCCAACTCCTCATCACTAACTTTCGTTCTGCGTTCTCAATTAAGGGCAAATATTCACGCGCGTAACGTTCGAAGAACTATAAGGCGCGCGGTGGCAGACGGAGCTGCGGGCGCCAACCAATCAGCGCCCTCCTCGACGCCTATCTGCTCGCAAATCTGCCCCTTGCTGGCATCAGCTATTGACGGATTCATCCAATCGGGAGCTTGAACGTCACCATAGTGACGTCACTCAGGTATCATCTGCTGACGGTTTCATCCAATCGGGAGCTTGAACGTCACCATAGTGACGTCACTCAGGTATCAGCTGTTGACGGTTTCATCCAATCGGGAGCTTGAACGTCACTATGGTGACGTTCAAGCTCCCGATTGGATGAAACCGTCAACAGCTGATACGTCAGTATGGTGACTTTCAAGCTTCCGATTAGATGAAACTGTCAACAGATGATACCTGCCAGGGGCAGAGATGCATAAATCGCCGTATAAGCTGCTTGCGCGCTCCTGGCATTTAAAATTTCATTAAAAAATAACCCGCCAGTAGAAGAGAACGTTGATTAATTACATGTTTGCATACGTGACATTTTGTCTCAGAGTTTGATCGGTTGACTGTTCCTACGCCACCTTTTGAGGTATAAACTACATACTGCCAAACACTCAGCTGTCCGCAAACGTGTACGTCAATATTTTTACTTTTTCGCTACCGCTATCGCGCTAGAGAGACAGTTAGGTAATGATTAATATGGTGTATCCTCTGTTAGGACATTAAGTATATCATGAACTGCATTATATTTTTCAAGTTTTCTCCTTTTTTACTTTCTCACACTTCAGAAGGAACGTCTTAAAAAAAGAACGTTATGTAAAGCTGCGCGAAAAAACTGCGAATTTTCGGAAAAAAAAACTCTTATTATAGAGCCTTGGCGTTGGCATTGAAAACGTGGATAAATCCAGATTCTAAATTTCGAAATAAAATCCTTTAAAGATGCTGTAGTCCAAATTCACGTTTTGTGGGTCCTTGAAACCAAAAAATCGATTGACAGCAAAACGTCGGTCCGTCTGTAAACAACATTTTCAAAGTTTTCAAAAAATGCCATCATCGTTTTTAATTAAATTTTCTTGTTGGATTGTGTAAAGAACGTTTAAGAGAATTGTACAGGACACATTTTCGTTAAAAACTATGATTTTTCGAAAATCGCAAAATTTTCAAAATTTTTTCGATGTCTTCCTACAACTGAAATATTAAAGATAGACATCATTCTAGTTAATACTATTGTTCCTTAAAGAGAGATTTCGAAATGTCACGTACAATGTTTCAAAAATTCAAGTATATTTCGCGTAATTTTGCTGAAAATATATACAATTTTGTTTAAACTTTTTTCTCAAAAACAGATCCATTGTTTTTGGTGAAATGTTGTTGTTAGATAGTCTAAAGAACGTTTAAGAAAATGGTACAGGTCTCATATTGGTTAAAAAATTTATTTTTTCGCAAATTGAAAAAAATCAAATTTCTTTCGGTATCGTCCTATGATTTCAATTACGAAGATTCTTTACTTAATGAAATGTTCATAACAAACAAATTTTAAAATAAGACCCTGTTAAGTTTTTTGAAAATATTAGTATATTGTTTGTAATTTCGGGACAAACATGACAGCGATCTCCGAATTAACTGCAGTTCGTCTTCGGCGTCTACCTATAACTACAATTGTGAAAATACATTTTTTTCTTAGTGAAATTTGTTTCTCAAAAATAGATTTTCAAATAAGGTCATGTCAATTTTTTTGAAAATATGAGTATTTTTGTTAAATTTTGCGAGAAAATAATCGCCCTCTCCGAATTTACTGCGCTTTGTAAACGTAATTCCAGATAGCTGGATGCTTCATAAGTCATAATTTGTATGTTTTTTCATATTTATTTCTTCGTTTCTTACCTTCGACCTTTTGTTATGCATTAACACATTAATATTTTGAAAATTATTTAAAACCTTTTTAAGTACATGAAATAATAAAAATTGCGAGCCTTCAAGGAATATCAAATTGGAATGCAAGAATGACTCGACAACAATGTCCCAGGAGCTAATGTTTGTGAATTACGTCTTATTGTTGAACCATGTTTTAACTTTAGGAAGACTCTGAACAAATTTTAAACTTTTGAATTTTCAAAAAATCACAGATATGAACGAAAATTAGATCCACGTCATTCTCTTAAATATCTTTTACGCTCTCAGAGGACGAAACGTAATCAAAAAATTTCGAGCCTTTGTTTAGTAAATTAAGAAAAATGTTATAAAGACTTCATGTAAATTATTTCTAATTTACCCTCAAAATACAAATATCCGATTCCAACTCTCCAGGGCCTTGAGTTCGTCCAGGCCGATCGGAAAATATCGATTTTAGAGAAAATAATTTCAACGGTTTTGGAGCTAGCGTTGACTACAGGCAGACGGTCAGGCAGGCGTCCATTGATTTTTTGGTATTAAGGACCTACAAAAATGGCTATATCTACATACATGGATAGTACAGGGAAAGGTAAGTAGTGCTGATGAAAATCAATTTTAAAATATCAACGGTAATACACATTTTAGGTTCCACTTATATCGCAAAAATATTTTGTACAAAACGTCCGTTCGTCCATCTGTCTGTCTGCCTTACCGGACGTCAGCACGTCTATCCGTCAGTGAACAAGGCGCTTAAAGTATTTGTAGGATTTTTATATTCTCGCTACTCCCTAGCAGTGTGGAGAAAGTATTGTAACGCTGCGAGAAAAACGGCGACTTTGCGACACAAAAACTAATTGCCGGGTCTTAGTCACGAAGAAGTGGATAAATTGTTTCCTTATATACAGTTAATTACTTCTTCTAATACATTGTGCAGTCAGAATCAATACTTTGTGGGTTCTTGATAATGAAAAATCGATTGACAGCAAAACGTCTGTCTGTCCGTCTGCCCGTACGTCTGCTGGGAACACTAGACACTAATTCGTGAGAAGGATTTTCATCAAAATTGGTATTTCCCAACTGATCTGGCTGATGTCGCGACTCTACCAATTTGAAACCTAAACTTTAATTTTTGGGGTACTGTACACGAAGCCCTTGGGACATTTTAAAACATTTAAAAAAAACGGCACAAAGTTCTTGATTCAATTTTGATCCACGTTAGCGTAAAAATGGTAGAGAATGCTATAGATCTCATTTTTCTTAAAAGCTGTAATTTTTCGAAAACTTGCAAATATTCAAAAATTTTTCGGCGTCTTTCTACGACTTAAATACTGGAGATATATCTGCTTGTAATGCAATCTGTTCGTTGAAAATAGATTTTGAGTAAGATCACGTACGATTTTTCGAAACAGTACTTTTTGCGTAAATTTACGTATTTTTTTCTTGCGCAGAGACTGTGCTAATCTTCTCTGGATCGTTGTAATTTTAGTACAAGGGCTGTCGAAGCGGTACAATTTTAATTTTTTAAAACTATTTTCTTCTCAATAATTGAATTGATGATGACTAATTTAAAATTAAGTTGAACATACTCATCAGAAATCCATCCTATGATGAACGCTCCAAATATCATCCCCGCAGGCACCACCATTTGGAGGTTTGGCAAGAGCCACTGTCGATCGCAGACCAAAGTAAACTACACAATCAGAAAATGATATTCTATTAGAACCGTGTTTTTTAAGTAAAATTGAGTAGTACATAATATGTACTACTGTGTACTACGTGTTCACATTTTCATATTACATTTTTATCTTATTTAATCTAATTACTTGATATTGCAATACTTATACGTTGAATAATATTAAAATAACACTATACAATATGATTTTATTTTGATTTACTTGAATTATTTATTCATTCCTTTTTTGACATTGTCTTTTAAGGTTTTGAATTATACATTCAGAACATACAGCACTAAATATTTTAATGGGATCAACACAACAATATATAATCATAAAATACACAATTAATCAACTAACTCAACTATAAGTACAAACCACTCACCTATATGAAGATTAAATATTTTATATAGTCCACTTTTTATCAGCACAATGCGCGGTCTGAACAGTTATATTATACATTATAATGTATCAACGTCTATCTTACCCACCTTTTACTTACACAACTAACCAGCGCGAAAAATACGTATCACCACTTTTAATGAAAAATACTTTCTGACATTGAATTAAGGGCATTTCCGTATGTCAAATGATGACCAACAATGTCCGATGCGTATTTTTGGCTTAAATAAAATTAGTAGTTTTTAATAACAGGAAGCGGGGGCATAGGCCAGGCCTGCACAGCATTTTGCACTTTCGCTGACCTCGGAAGCCGGGCGCGAGGAACTAGCGTGCAAATCCAGGAAGTTAAGAAGGGTGGGGACGAGACCCATTCTACGAGTGGGGACCACCAATGAGAATGCGCAGTCAAACCCTAGCGCCTAAATTGAAAGAGCAATCGGCGAGAAAACGACGCTCTGTTACATACAGGTCATGTATTATTGCCTTTTGCTGTGTACTGAAAATGTTTTCTAGAAATAGATAACAATGTGAAATATGAACCTAAAATGAATTAGACATATCTTCATATTTGGTTTGGACATCACGTATTATAATTGCTTGTAGTGCTAATAGTATAATTCAGTTTGCTACGATGTAATCACACGCTTAGTATAGCGCTAAACACAAATTTGTAGCATTGAATTGTTTTTGTTTGACGATGATAGTAATAAACTATTTTTCATTAACTATTTTTAATTGAATAAGACAGTTATATCAAAGCAAACATCTTAAAAAATCATTACTTTCTGCCCCAATTTTTGACAGGAGTACATTATATTTTTCTAATATGAAATCAACAAATACTGTTTATTCATTATGGTTTACGATGTTGCTATATTTAAAATGTATTAACTGAATTTTATGAGTAGAATGTCAATAAAACATTAATTCATCCTCAGTGACGTAAACTCAAACCTTTATAAATATCTCCTACATTAGAGTTGAACGATATCTACAAGATCTGTCCCGAAAACAATGCGCCTATTTTTATTTTAAGAAATTTATTGATTCGTACAATTACTCAATATTCTTCAAAATGCATCCCTCTTGCTTCAACACACGCGTTCCAACGAGATTTCCATGCTTTATATGCCTCCTGGAACACCTTCACTGGGATGTCCTTTAGTAACCTCGTCGTAGCAGCCTTGATATTTTCCAGAGTTGCTGTCCTTAGAGGGATTTTATAATCTTACGAGAACAAAAAGAAGTCGAGCGGGGTCAAATCAGAACTATAAGGCAACTGGGAGAGCGTCCTCACACCACTGCAACTATTCTTGACACACTTCCACTCGATAGTTCTTTTGGCAAACGATGAGCACTCTCGGGACAAGTTTGGCGCACACCTTCGGCATTTGTACGTTTTCCGTCACAATCTTGTGCACATTGGTCTTCGGAATGTCAAGCGTTTCTGTCATGTGATTAGGCGAACACTCATTCTTCGAGCAGAGTTCAACAATTTGCACACTTTGTCAACCGAACTTTCATCTCGCGATGTTGAAGGGCGACCTCCTCACAACCGCAAGTCCGCACAACAGCAGTCGTCATCAAAATCATTCCGAAGCAACTCAAAAGTTCCAGACGGCGTCTTCTCAAGTTTGAAACAAACCTTTATCGCGTATCGCTGCTCGAGAGTTTTTTCCACCATCATGTCGACGCACTCACACGAGAGTTCACATAAACGGGAACTGTGACGCTCCAGGGGCTCGGAGCCGACTGGCGCGGGACGCGCTGTGTTCCCAAAACTGCCGACCGCACTTCCTTGCAAGCAGCAATGCTTTGCGACGAATAGTTGCGGCAGGAAAAAATAGGGCGTATTACTTTTTGGACAAATCTTGTAGAACATCGGAAGTTTTCGTTAGGTTATACATCCCTTCATGTTTCTGTCATTTGGAGTGAAAAATCAATTATTAAATTGAAAATGAATGTTATTAATTTAATGAATTAAAATATTCTATGAAACTTGAGGATAACCATTCCTTGTATTTCCTTGATTTAACCATTATATTAAAAACTCAAAAAAAGAATTCAAATTCAGAAAACCCACTCATACAAACTCAATCATCCCTTTCAATTACAATCACATTTACCATCATGTATTTGCTTTTTTCCACTCCTGTATCAACAAACTATTCCAGGTTCCTATGATAGATATAGATTTTAATTATGAAGTCAATACCATTCTAACCGTTGAATTAAATCATGATTTCGATCTTCTGTTCATCAATAAATTTATCTACCAAGGTGTAAAAATTATTTTGAATAAAGTTTTTTCTTAACTTGCTCTGTAGAACCTAAGTTAATAATTTGCATCCCCTAAATAGGTCCTGTATCTAAATGTTTAGGTCAATGATTCACTAAAAACAATATTTCAGTAGCTTACAAAACTTTAAACTCCCTCCAATCTTTATTTCCTTGTTCCAAATCACCAGTCCTCTTCATTGAAAGAAGTGACATTTTTCACCTTACTTGTAAAAACTGTAACTAGCTATGCAGGCCAAACTGGCAGAAAATTTTTAGTTAGAATTAATTAACATATTAGATGTTGGAAACAAAATTTAGACACTTCCACATTTGCCAATCATTTGCTTAAATTTAACCATTCTTTGACCCTAATTATAATTTTAAAATTCTTCACTTGGCCAACAAAGGCAAAAAATGAACATTTTGAAGAACTTGATTTTTGATGAAAACTTTTCAATAAACTAATTTTTGTATCATGAATGAACATTTTTTAATTAAAGCAGTCCCATTTTAAATATTTTTATTGACTAATCATTCTTTTGACCTTAATTTTTCAGCAAATTTCTTCACCAAATTAACTTATTTAAAATATGTACTTTTTGTAATTTAAAATTCTAGAACTTTTCAACTTATAGCATAAATTCCCCGACTGATAATCACTATACCATCAAAGCCGGTTTAGAATCCACGGAGTGTGAAATTGATGTCATTCGTTGACTTGGAGTTGATGCCATTCGACATTTAACAGGAATACATATATTCTTAAATGGTCGGAGAGAAAATGATTAAACTAACGAATAAAACTTAATACTGAATATTCCAGTGCAATATTTGTTACGTAATATTTAATACGTTAGCTTAATTAGTTTGAATAAATAATGATAATTAATCTCATGAATCAATGATTTCAATAATTTTATCAAAAGGTATCAGCAAACAAAAAAGTTTGGATCAATGTGATTTACATAGATTTGAATAAATATTTCCAATATTCATCATTGGAATCTAGAAAAAATGAGACATATTTTTCCCAGTACTGTAACTCCTTCGAATCTAAAATGAAAGAATTACATCATAATACCTCCTCAACGGCACTGGTGCCTTTTTCTGCAAATACAAAATCGTGACACTTAACAGTGCCCGCTGTCTTCCTGTCTTCTTCGGCTTTCGCCCGTGCCTCGTCAAAGGGTAATTTGGCCAAGGACTCGTAATCCAAATCTGGTATACTGCACACTTGATTTCCAAATCTAGTAAAGAAATACATATTACACATCGCAGTTTATTACAAGATATGTATAGTAAAAATTTACCGTAAACACCATATTGACCACATAATGATTCATTACAATTTCATTATTACCATTAAGAACACAGATTATTTTCTTATACAATTAAATATAATTTAGAACAACATAATTTATTTTAACAATTAAAAATATATATAAAAATGTGGGCCAACTGAAATTGCCAGTACCCAGAAATACTTTCTGAATCTCCTCTTGTATTATTAAATAACGAGCTGAGTACGGCGTCTGCGAGAGATGTTTTTGGTTCTTATATTGCTCTTTATGAGCATAAAAAATTAACCGCATCAGAAAAATTACACAATACAAACCTGGTATGTGTTCATCAATAAATTACAGATTTTTATTGTTAGTTTTTGCAGCGTATTTGTTTAATTGTTAATGTTTAGTCCAATATATTATATAGTGTAAAGTGTCCGAATGTAGAATCCTTTTTACATATTCGTCTACAACTTCACAAGTAGTCTATAATTTGCAGATAATATTTAAACTAGTCATTTATAAACATGTGTGGTTGATATTATTCTCTTAAATCTATTAGAAATTCACGATATTTCGTAATTAAAAATTGTCTACATATATTTCATATCAGTGGAAAAGTTGATGTTTTTTTTTCTTTTTAACAAATAGTAAATGTATTAATGTCTAGAACATTGTTTATTTAAGCAAACGTACATATTTGGTTTAATATTACAGATAATTCCTGCAGACGAACTTATGTTTTGGATTTGCTGCACATAGGACATGAGTCCGGTTCTACACTTTACACTTCTAACACAGTTACACTTCTAACACTGAGTCTGACCAGTTGAGATCTTAGGCCATGCACCTCCACAGTACTATATAGAATGTTAACATTAATGTGATCGAAAATGCAACTTAATGTATACAGCCAAAATAACCATTTATATTTTACATACAGCAGCAATGCGGAATATTCTACTTTAGAACAATGCTCATATTCCACATTAGGGACATAGCGAACATATAGCTTTCAAGCTGTTTCGAAATCAAAATCTACATCGATGTTCTTTATATATTCTGAGATATTTCCTTAAATATGCAACTAACACATACTATATAGATAATTATTATAGTATTTACGTCACACGAGTAACAACAGTTCTATTGTATACTGTTACAATATTTGTTGACGCTCTCAAGAAAACACGGTCTGCCACTTCACTCAAGAGCTTTAACTCAAAAAACATTATATAAGCTCGATGAGGGGCCTCTTCAAAGTAATTCACAAGTTTTGTCTTGAGACGCAACTCAAGTCCGATACTTCGGTATTTCGCATTCGGAACGTATTCCACATTAGCTGGTTTTACCCTAACGGTGCTGTTGTTCTTCTGTGTATTAATAGCCATGATACAAAGATGAAAAATAGATGGAATTAAATATTGGGAAAAGGTCCGCAAACTGAACTGTTTTAATTTTCTGAATTGAACTGTGACCAAAACCCACGATTCGGAACATTGGCCAATTTTCTTAGATGGTCGTGAATTTTTAAAAAATAAAAAATCAACATAAGTCGTTTTCTATAAAATTATAAGAATGACGGAACATTTTTGTATCTTATTTTCATATTCGATTTAAAATTATATAATTAATATTATTAATTAATATACCATTATTTTTAAATAATTTGATTACAGTGTTTTATTTATTTTACTACAGGAGAAATAAATATAAAAACTATTGAAAACAAATTTAAATTATTTTCTATTATCAACAACAGACTCAAACATTTACTGGAAATATCACTAGTGCTTATTTCGTGATTTCTTTTTGTAAACAGAAATTTAGATCAAATTTACTTACCGGGAATCGACGCCCTTGTTTCTGTATCAACCTCATGGATTTTAAAAGTGAAGCGTGTATCGGATTAGGCAATAACAGAACAAAATTAGTGAATGTTTGTAAGCCTGTACAATGAATGGCCGTGAGAGAAAAGGTGTCATATTTATAAATCATACTTTAATTATTTAAATTTCTCGTAAGGCACAGTGAAGTTTTACTTCAAGGGTATAATTGCACAAGGGGTTTTGGGTTTCTGCCTACGAGATTAAAATAAAACATCCTTGTGTCTGTCTAATGTATAATTTCCTCAGTGAGTCGGAAACTGTAACCTTCGTGATTCACATAAAACATCTTGTATATCGAAAAAGATCTCAAGGGGGAAAATATTTGTTCCTGACACTTCTCTAAATATCTCTTATAGTCATACACAACTTCAACAGTGCCACTGTGCTCAGTCGTCGTACGGTTTGCAAAATTACTCCTGAAAATGTAGATTTGCTAAGTTGGAATTGGATTTCAAAAAATGAAGTACGCTTGTCGCGTTGATTTCCAGTAAGTAATCTTTAGCTGAAAATTCAAGCTTCAAAACCCTTCAAACAACATTGTATTCTCGTATCAATGTTTCTCTCCACAACTGTTGTCATCCACTGACAACGCGGGAAGATTTCCAGATTCATAAGGTGCATCCTCTGTTAGTACATTAAGTATATCATTAATTACATTACAAGTATAATTTGTTGTTGATTACGACACATCCCACTTAGTTCGCGGAGGGTTAACTACCTAGTGAATTTTTCGCCGATATTATCTGAAACATACGTATCTGTTATATTGCGTTGCTGCTCCTCGGTAAAATTAGCTTTGTCCAAAGCTGTCACGTTGCAGTAGAAAGGAACTTCTGGAGCGATGAACACCCACGTGATAAGCAGCCACACGTTGAAAATTCCAGAAATGGTTGTTGCGAAGAAAATTCGCCACATCCAGCAAGAACGTTTGCCCACTATTTCAAGCACTTCATCCATTTGATCATCTGTGCCTGTATTAAAAATTATGAACAAAGGTAAACCAGTATGTAAGAGAAGAAAGTCAACAAACGTTTTTCCTCTTATTTCATTGATTAGTAGTATCAACTCTAGATGTTATACAATAGTAAGATAATGTATTTTGTAAAGTGAAGGCTTTCATAGAATTCGAATACAGTACTTATTTTGGGGAATGCACGGAATATCGAAACGTTTTCTTGTCTGTCATTTTTATGCCATTTTAACACGTGTTTTACGCCATTTTAACAATTTTAATTTATTTTCTCTAACAAAGAATAAATGAAACGAAAAATTTGGTATCATTTTGTAGTTTTTTTAATGAATTTCATTAACTTCAAAGATAAAATATTCTTTTAACAAAATTTTACATAAACATATTTTAAGATCGACTTTTTAGACCACATTTGAAGGTGAGATTTCACTCGAAAAATCAGAAAAAAACACAATTTTGTATTTTAGTCTTATACAATAATATCTAGACTTTTCTGAATATTTTGATACATTATTTATTGATTTTTTTGTTTATGTTATTGGGTTTTGAATGTGCATTAGCAGACAGGCTGACATTTGAAAAGTTCCATGGTTTCACATGAACAGAAATAATTCTGAATATATTGACTCAAAGGCTGTGGTTTTCACATTTTCATATTCGGTTACCTTATTCATCAGTGTGACTTGACGGACATGTGGTTCTACTGTGTTATAAAGTTGTCTTATTTTCTCTCTCTTGGGGTAACTGGTGGGATAGCCTGGTGTGGAGGGAATCGCGAGGACTGTTGAGGTTAACAATTTGGGTAACGCGGAAAACACTTTCAGTAATGAAAATCTTGTCAAGCTCCTCTCCCCTCAATCAAATCACAATCAACATATTGTAAAAATAGTACAAATATGGAGCATAAATTGATTTAAAAATAAATTTCTTTTGAAGTGGCCCTCATCATAATAAACCACTAGATTTTAGATCTAAGATTTTAGATTTTAGAAATAATTTGACTAGTGTTAATTGTAGGTTATTAATACCCTTTTTGCGAATGTTCTTTGGTAAGGTATGTTAATCAGTATATCCATCAATAATGTGATCTCAAGTATCCTTTATTATATGAACTCTCTATTTGTTTACCAGAAACTAGCAAAGAATTTACCACACTTAATTTTCAGTTAATATTTTTTATAATAGTGCCTGTACGTACATGTAAGAGTTGTAGACGTTTGAAGGTTAAGGTATATTTGAATTCTGACTTACTTTGTTTAAACCACATTTTGTCTACAGTTTTATTAGGAAACGTGTAACTTACCCCGGGTCTTATTATGGGAGAACCGACGACGTCGAGGTGGAACATTTTCTTCCATTGTGTTTTGTAGAACGAAAGTGAAAGACGAAAATACTCTGTATACAAATTAGATAATAAATTCAAAAGTAAAAGTGAAAATGACATACTACTTTATTCTTTGACGCTACGTGTGTGATTTCATTGAAAACGTGTTTACATTGTCAATCAAAATTATCACACATCGTAAATAGCAAAGTGACTGTGGATAAACGGAGACCCGATTTACGAGAATGAACAGTATAAGAATGGAAAAGATTTACAGTGTTCTGTGTGTTTTGATGTAATTACGGCAATGATTCGACATTTTACTTTGCGATGTTTTATCGTTTTATTTTGGTGCCAATGTTAAAGGGAAGTTGTGATTGTGAACTTCGTGAAACGTATTTATAGCAAACTGAGAGGTATCCCTAAGTGTCAATGTTTGAGATAACATCATAACATGAGGTGAATTCAGTACATAGTGAATAGTATTAAAAAAGAGGAATTCAAAATATATTGTTCAAAACACATTAAAACATTTAATTATTTTAATGAAACAATGTAAAATCTATGTAAATAAAATTGTATTGATTTCAAAATGAGTATAATAATGTGTACTATTGTGATATAAATTAGTGAAAACAGAAAAGTTTGAGGGAAGACCTTACTAGTTATTTTTATTTCCTTTTGTTTAGTAAATTTCCTAATGGCATAAGGGTTATATCGATTATTTTAAGCTATTTGCAATATAGTATGAATTTCTCCCGTAAAATCTAATTCTGATGTAGGGACATTCAGTCAATCCAAAAATGAAAAACAGCAAATTTATGTTAAAAGTTGTGGATGGGGTTAAAGGGAAATCAATAATGTATCTCAATTCATCTCAATAATGTAGTTGTAATAAGTGGTTTATCAAATTTTTAACTTTTGCATTTTTCAAAAAATTGTAGTTCACAGTAGAAATAGGTCTTATTTCATTTTTAAGTTTATTTTAGTCCATCCTTACAAGAAATTTAAAGATACAATTTGGAATCACTTTTGAAAAAAATTTGAAAATGTCCGAGGGCCTTCATGTGATGTATTCTCAAGATATTTTTTTCGAAATCATAGGGGTTCAAGTTGGGGACCAGATCTAACGGGGAAAATGCATTTTAGCAAAAATCGTATTAATAGTTTATACACGAGTGTTGTTCACAGACAGAACCGCGTTTTGAAAAACGGTTTTTAGGTATCAAGGAGCCACAAAATGTGTATCCTGGCTATGATAGGTACTTATTGTGACTTATGTGTACTTATTATGAGAGGGAACTATTAGTGACAATTTGCAGGTAACTGATGCCATTGATTTAAAGAAATTACATTCACATACAAAAATCACTGAATACTTTATTTTACAGATAGAACAGTATGTACAACAAACATAAATACAACTTTATTAAGCGAGAATCATTTAACACTAAAATCAGCCCAAATATTATTTCAAAATAGGAACAATTATGGAGTAAAGTATATTAATTCAAACAGACGTAATTAACAACATATTTTGCGTCGGTTATGTTTTCTTGTCTATTCTACGGCCGATGACAACGTGCATGTGCAGAGCATGGGTGATGTGTGTGGTGTGCATGGGCTGAGGTCAAATTAATGGTCAGGGAAAGGAGGGTAATATTTTTAATCATATACAAAACAAGAAAACAATTTATTTTTTGTTTCATAAAAACAAATGTTTGGAAGAAAATCTATAACGCGTTCGTATCATCCCATTCCAGCTTGGCCCCCATTCTCCTCAGGGCGATGATCGTGTTGACCGCCTTGATCCACCTCTTCTTGATGACGTACCGCTTCAGCCTCGTCTTGTCGAGCGCCACCGTCGCCTGCGACTTCAGCCACTCGTGGCCCAGGCACTGCGTCGCCGTCAGGCGCCCTCTGCGGGGAACATTCAGAAACACAAGGCACTGAAATTCGCGCAAAGCCAGCTATTCGTACTTTTAGGACAGTAGTGAACAAAATTAATACGATAGTATTTTGTTTTTTGTTGTTTTCTTTACAAACAAACGACATGTAGGCTGAATCGATAGCAGAAGATTTTGGAAAAGAAGCAGATTTCGGAAAAGGCTCGAGAAATTCTAGTTTCTCCATCGTTTGCACCGGTAGAGAGAAAGGAATCGCTTGCCGTTGAACGAATAAAGTTTGGTGCCCCACAGCGCAGCCCTATCCTGCGGCGGGAGGGAGCGCCTTAGACTCCGAACTGCGGGGGCAGCACGGGCCGCGTTTTGTCGGGCGCGCTCTGCCGCGAGGACTGGAAGTAGTTGGCGAGGGAGGACATGGTCCGCTGCGCCAGCGACTCCTCTTCCGACCACTCCACCGAGATGGACTTGTGCCGCCCGGCGGGGGGCCGGTGGCCGGCCGGCGTCGGGCGTGGGGCGGGGCGCGCCGGGGCCTGCCGCTGTTACCCACTTGTTGAGTCAGGTGGCAGGCAGCAGGTCTGGTGGGTCGGGGTGGCGGGGGGGCCAGGGGGGCGTGGGGGCGGGGACAGGGCGAGGACGACGCCGAGGGACGGCTGCGGCCCGCAGCGGCGAGCGCGCACGGCGGCGCACGAAGACGCCAACGTCGCGCGGCGGCGGGCGCGGCACGCCAGGGCGACGTGGGGGTGGCAGGTTGCGAGCAGGCGGAACTTGGGCCGGCGCGGGGCGTCCTCGGGGCCCGACAGCCCGGCGATGTTAGGTGCGGCGCGGGGTGCTCGGTGCGGGCTCGGGGCTGGCCGGGGCGGGGGGCGCGGCGCGGCCGGGGGCGGGGCCGGGGGCCGGGGGCGGTTGATGAGGCGCCGCATGCTCGTACAGCTTGTCCGCAGCTTGCGGATCTCGCGGCGGAAGGGTTGACTGCGCGTGGCCTGGTCGGCTGCAGACGGCGGGCGGCGCCACCAGCACGGAGCTGTCGGAGGCGCGCGCTCGAAACCGTGGGCCAGGCGTCACAGTGGGTACGGGACGGGGCGACAGGCCGCGCGGGCGACGCCGTGGGCGACGCGAGCCGAGACGACGGCGGCGCCGGTCGACGGCAGCGAGCTCACGACGAGGACAGGCGCGCGCAGGCGACGGGGACGCCGCGCACGACGCCGCGGCGGCGAGCGGCGGGGGGCGGGGGCGAGGCCCGGGCGCGCACGGGGAGATGGTGTGCACGAACGTGGTCGAGAGGTGGGACTGTTGGGGTGCTCGTTCCACGGTCTCACGAAGAGAGCGCAGTTATCTTTGGCGGCGTCAGCTGTCCAGGGGGCGGCGGGGGCGGGAGCGGCGGGCCCCGGGTGGGGGCTTGCGCTGCAGCCAGCGGTGGCTGAGGCACTGACTGGCCGTCATGCGCTCGCTGCAAGGCAGACAAAGACCCAAAGTTAACGCCTGGCTCACTCGACCGACCATCTTCCGCCGACAGTCTCCGTGTTCAACGACAACCACGTCTCTAGGGGGTTTCATAAAATTGCTGTAAGAACTGGACTATTTATCTAAACTACCCTGCGAAAACGAAGATAATGGTATCGAGGGTATGGGATCAATGTTTCAAACTCCGATATTGTCGTCTTTAAACACATTAAACTGTCGGTTGAAGATTGTAAATTGTAATTGCAAGAAATTATACATTCAAGAGAGCATGCTATCCTTTTTTAATTAGTCAATTCTGACATCCATAAAAACTCCACAGTTGCATAGTGAACGCTCTGCAATAAATGAGCAGAAAATTCTCTGATCGCAACCCCAAAAACTAACTATCTGAAAGTTAGAAAAAATTTAAAAATAAGAAAACAAATTCTTGACTACTAAGTGAAATACATTTAGAGCTAAACTATTTTTTTTTTAAACACTAACTATCACAGAGCATCCCAATGCAAAATTTACTAAAACTTTCCTCGCTGTCTGGGTAGGACTCATGAAAAACATAACATGCAACTTGCATTCAATTAAAATATTTCCAAAATAGGTAACATGCATAATACGAGTCTTTTTACACAATGTTCGACGGAGAGGACTTTAGGTTAGAAGCCCTATTACGTATGAACTAGTAAAATGAAATAATATTTGAGCGATAAAATGCTTCAATTCTTTTCTTATAATAGTATCGAGTTCAAAAGAAAAGTGTCATTCTGAACTATTTTTTAAAAAAATGAAGTTAAACATTTTCAGTGAGTATCCACGGAAAACAACATTTTATCAACTAAAAATGGTATATGAAACAATATTTTCTATTTCATTTCATGTTTAATTTTCACCAGCATTTTTTCCATTACATCGTCCTGTCTCAATACATTTTATTTGAATTTGTTAAATTCATTAAATATTTTAGTTTATTAAAAGGTCTTACAAATGTTCTTTTAGGCTAGAGTGACAAAACAAGGAGAACAAAAGAAGTAGAATTTATAATTGAAGGAATCACTGAGAGATAATCATAAACACACGTTGGGTTTTTCGAATAGAGCACAAAGCTCTCTGAACAACCTTCTTTTCGTTAAGGTTTCTAGTTTTTCGTCAAACGGTTCAACAAAAGTATACTCGTTTTGTTGATTCCCCTTTGATTTTAATTTTATCGCCAAACATTACACGAGCTGTAACTCAAAATTGCATTATGATGCAATTGTGGCTTATGATTATCTCCTACGGACATCTTCAAAAATACTGACATTGGGGTTTGAAATCTGTGTTCAAGATAAGTGTGCGGTTATTAGATGAGTTGTATTGACCAAAATACTGAATCCCGAAAAGATATTAGAAATAGGTAGGGGAAACAGAACTCCTACAAGACCAACAACATCTGCATGCTAATCATAGAGGACACCAATGGGCCTTTGTCATACCTTTCGTGCTTTCTATTCAAAGAGAGAATTTACGTGGAATTTCAGCAACGACCGCAAGACTCACTAGACTAGTCAAAATGAACAATCTTGCATATGTACATGAACAATACATATGTAAATAGGTCGGTTACTGCTAATTCTACATCACAAAATACTAAAAAAATGCTTATTTAAAATGTGAGTAAAAATACAGTCACTCACTAACCAGTGCCAGAGAAGAGAGCAAGAAAAGAATGAGGCATTGGTCCAAGAAACCCTCAAGTTGCAGGACTGTGGTTATACCAAACTTACGAAGCGAACGATACCATGCAAGCTTTGAAGGTTAGATATTGTCACCTACTCCTTTTCTTTGATGAGAAGCTGCTGGATGAAGTCCTTGGCCTCTGTCGATATTTCATTGAAAACTTCATCATCAAAATCGTACTTTGCTATGGTTACGTTGGCCATAGTCTCGATGTCTGTTTCTCCCATGAATGGAGACAGACCAGAGAGACTAAAAAGTATTAACAATATTAGTAAAGCTGATTATAATCTAACCAATATCAATGTTCTTAATTTAGTGTTTTAAAAACAGAGCACAAGAAACTTGTTTATTTTATTACTGAAAAATAAAGCTCAATAAATTAAATCAATAAAAGGTTATGGTTAAACCATTGCAAGAATTTATTATTTAACAATCTACTTCCATGTTTCTTGTATGATTTGGTGGTTCTCAAACCACGTAAAAATGTTAATACATGAAAAATAAATTATCTTTTTAAGGCAACTTTTCAAAAAATAAGTTAAAAAAGTTATAATTAAAAATAATTATTTGTATTCCAATATTTATATTAAAATTCCACATTGTCCTTCAAAGATGTTTTGATTGTGCCCGGCCGAGGATTATAGGTGGCTTTCAAAGTTGATGGAGTGCAAGTGAAGGTTGGTAGTCGGGTCAATTAATTATCTAAAATTAAGGAGTTCAAAAGGATTCCTTTGAGGAGCCTATATTCTCTCTCGGGTCTGCGGGTAGGAGTTGCCACATCTGCTCAATGCATCACTTTGATAATTTGTTGGGGCAGCAATTTTAAGAGTTTTGAGAACCATTAAGGGAATTAGAATAGTAATAATAATAGTAACAATAATAATAATAATAATAATAATAATAATAATAATAATAATAATAATTTACTGACTTATTAGGTATATAAATACCATCGAGAAAAATTAGTAAAGAGAATAGAGTGCACTTACAGAACATAGCAAATTACTCCTACTGACCACATGTCAGTACCGAAACCAATTTGATCAAAGTTAACCACTTCTGGTGCCACAAATTCAGGGGTTCCAAACAAAACTTGTAATTTCTTTGTTGGATCAAATTTGCGAGCCAATCCAAAGTCAATTATCTTTATCCTATTTCCAGTTTTTGTGAGGCAAAGAATATTCTCTGGCTGCAAATAACAAAGCACATGAAATGTGAATGTATGATTAGAGGTAAGTTTACCAACTGCGAATTAACATAACAATGGTATTTTGAGCTCCTTGACAATCATAAAATTAATATAATTAAAAACTTAAGCTTTGTTTTCAGATTTTTTAAATATTTTACTTTTGTATTATTTAATATAATTAATTGAAAACTCGTAATCGACAGCCAGTTTGTTTCAATTTCAACTAATATGTTCATATACGAAATAAGTAAACTATATCATTGTAATGTAATGTATTTTTTGTTAAAGAAATATACATTTTAAACTTATATATCTGTAGATTAATGAAAATACTTACCTTCAGGTCCAAGTGTAAGATGTTTTGTTTATGAACGAACTCTATTCCTTCGCATATTTGACGCATGAAAACAGTACATGCCTTTTCTGTTAAGATGAAGTCATCATCAATTACACGCTCAAACAATTCTCCCCCTTCAATGCTGAAATAAAAAAAAAGAAGAAGAGATAGTTATTAACACATTCTACATTACGTACGATATAAGATAAACATTCGATACATTCCATCCATAGTATTTTTAAAGAACAACTGGATGCTATTTATCGTCACAAGTAATATGTAATATTGCCAAAAATAAATAATAAATAACATGCAATATGGAAAGTCAAGAAAATTCAAGGTTTGGCGACGTTACAATACTACTTTGCAAACATACTGAGGAGGGCATTAGTCACAGATCGGTGATGTCTCCCTTTTTATAAACAAAAATATAATACTGTGAATGAAAATAGTATGAAATGATACGGTCGAAAACTATAATTCTGCCAAAACACCACGAGTGAAAATGAATAAAAGGAAAAGTTTATTTATAACTTTTACCTAGAACAGTTTTCACTCTTTGAAGCACAGTTATGCTCGTGGTGTTTACAAAACTAAACGACTTACTAGTTCGTTTTTTATACAATACTAGATTTTTTATTATTTCATGCACACTTTTTCGAAATATAATTACTTTTCGGGTAATATATAATTTCTCACAAATGAATGAACAATATTTTCTCAATGATGGCTCTAATCTTTTTTATAAGAATAGATCACAACATACTGAATTTTGAGGCCCAACTGCCATAGAATTTATCTCTAATTAACCAGTCACTGGGAACAAAAACTTACTATTGACTTGAAATGTGGATTTTTTTGCATGAGTTTGGCTAGTGTTATACTACGTTTTCATTAAAAAAATACGAGAAAGTACACGCTATTGCACCGATAAATTCAGTATTTACAGATTGATCATACCACTGATCAGAGTGTGCATCTTGCCTCTAAACACCTGTGTATACGGGGTTGCCTCAAAATCAGGGGCAAACGCCACATGTATAAATTCTTATTACTGGGGAGCTGATTTTGTTGACACAAAACATCGCCTAAAATGATCAATAAAATGCTCTTAAAATGTTTCTTAAATGCCCTAAAAGTAAAGAAAAATTACGATAAAAATTGGATCAAAATCCGTGCAGATTATCAACTCAAGCCGTTGGATTGTATTACTGATGTAATCAAGGCTTTTTCCTTTCGTTCAAGTGAACTCATCTTCCCAAAATTTGGTTTGGGATGTTCTATTCATAGGAAGTCTCCGACCAAACCGCCACTAGCGCTGATAGTCGTCACAGGAACTTTAGACCACATACTCACAATGGCTGACAAATTATGAGAAATCGAATATGCTGTTCAGGAGTTATGTATGAAATATTTGTTACAATTCGTAAATATTATTTGAAGCAAGTACCATAAAAATTATTTTAAAATAGATGAAATCATCAAAAATGCTTTCATATGATGGGAAAAGGTAAACAATTACTTATAAGTTGAAATCGACGAAAAATTGTAAAAAATGACTTACAATTGCTCATTTCCTTTTCTCATAACAAAATTAATGTCTACACTAAAAATAACTGTTCTAACGCAAAAAGAAAAAAACAACATTTCATTAAAATCCGACCCGAACATATAACTCTCTTATAAGTTTCCCAGTTATAAGTTCATTGGGAAAAAGTAACCATTTTCGACCTGTCGACGTGCTCTAGAAGTTTGTAACATTCATTTGAAACGACCTAGGGAGGGAGAGAGACACACATGCTGTAGCGTATCAGTGGCCCCAGAAGGTGGTCAATCAATTGTAACGTCGGCGCTCAAAGTGTTGAGGCTCGTAAACAGCAAAGCTTGGTGCTATGTTATTCAATGGACTAATTAAGGACGTAGAACGTGAACATAAAGAAAGCCTAACAAAGTTCGCAAACTTTCACGTTACGTTAACGTCGGCTGAGAACAACTCACAACTGATACCACAGCAAGATCTTAAGATCATCTAGCGCTTTCTTCCAACAGAAGCTAGCGCAGTTGTGAGTATCGCCATTTATTATCATCATCATCATAGCTCGTGAAACGCTCCGAATATTATTCGGGCGCTTAGGGCAAACAAAAATATTTCTCAAACAAACAAGACCGCGTGCATTTTTCCCAGAATGAATGTCGGGGGGGGGGCGGTGCGTGGACACTCACAGCTCGAGCACGACGCACATGACCTTGCCGTTGTCGAAGGCGTCGTAGAGCTGGATGAGGCGCGGGTGGCGCAGCTGCCGCATCACGTCCACCTCGCGCTCCACGTTGCGCCGGTCCTCGCGCCGCGGCGTCGCCACCACCTTGGCGGCCAGCTGCAGCCCCGTGGCGCGCTCGCGGCAGCGGTACACCGTCCCGAACTTGCCCCTGCACACACACACGCGCGCACACCAAATAGACTTACATTTTCTGCATTTTTTTTACTCTTTCGAGCACGGGGCCTTTGGGAATTTTTTTTGCAGTAGTTGCGCAGCTCAGGTCGCAGCTCACACCAACAGCTGTCAAGAAAATGTCTTGTAGGTTGTGTAAAAAATGTTTCTCGGGTGTTCTGCTAGCATTTATCGTCTCTACAACATCTTCCGGTGCTTCTGGAAATTATTTTCTGAATTCTTTAGCGATGGTTCATAAATTAACCTACCATAAAACAACACATACGGTTCAAATTTTGTACCTCCGTGCGGCCGATGCATTGCGCACAGTGGTACATGTTTGTACCACCACCGTGCTGGAAAGAGTTAATAAAGATGTTTACAAAGTTAATTTGTTTCACATCAAAACGCACTGGAACAACCCTCATCAGAGCGATAGTCGCTCCCCTAGAAGCAAGCAAACATCATCAATAAGCAGCCAGGCACCCTAATCTCTCCGCGCCCCATTGGTCATTTATTCGTCACACATCGCACCCGGTTGTTTGATTCATTGATTACTTTGTGTTTCCGAGCGCATCAACTGCTAAGGGCATTAGTCCCGTAAGTGTCTTGCATGTTTCATCGCGGGAGGTGGTGGAGATTTTTCCCTACTGGATGGTCAGATCCAGTGCCGACCTACCTGTGGACCAGTGGGGTTTTCTCTCAACCAGGTATCTCCCACCAGCGGGATACCGCCCCAGCCGGGACAAGATCTATGCTTCCGACTGATCTTCCGGCATGTGTGGTAGTATAGTACATGTAAATATGTGTGTAAGTAAGGGGTGATGACAGAACCAGGAAGACGAAGGAAAGATCGCGCGCAGTCCTTGGCCCGTTTATCAGGGTACTGCTTCGGCAGTCTCTTAGTGTTGATCGGAGAAACCACAGGGAACTACCGATCACAGCAGCTTAGCACCAGAATTCTCCTCGAGTCAGAGGCTGAATTCGACTTGCGTATCTAGCTAGTTAAAATAGTTATTAAAATAGTAGTGCGAGTAGAAATAGTAGTCCAAAACAAATTTTGCTCTGTCTCTTACGTACTAAGCCAAAAGAAAAGCGAAATGATCCATACGCAATGTAGGTATTACACACGTTGTTCAAAAAATACAATCAAAGGCGAGCAGTGAAGACAAAAAATATATATTATATTTCTCCTGAGAATTCGCACAACTGCCAAACACAAACGCAGGGTGAGTTGCCAGGTATGAGAGACACTTGTCAAATGCGTAACTTCCTTGTATGACATGTTCATGGCCTAAAAGAAATCATCGTCTATTCCCTTTCATCATCTGCAAGTTCGAAACATTTATTTTCTATCCTCTATAATTAGCCTTGTACTACTTCTTCATCGCTCCCAGAGCGCTTCTTGAGTGCAGCGTCTTCATGCCTCCGGCATCCACTTTGTCAATGACTCTCACTCGCCATGATCTACTTCTATAAAACTGACATGCGGAGCAAACAAAATGCTTTTACGGTTTTGTACTGGAGTAGAAATTACTGTTCATAAATAATTTCAATTAATTAGGACACGAAAGGAGGTTAACTAAATCTCCCTTGCGGTGCGGGTTGTAAAATAACTCTCAGCATTTGAAAGACCAGCGGGAAGAGAGAGATAATACACGTTACCTCCCATCAAAGATGGGAATTCCATGCCGAGAACGTTGATTGCAATTCAGTTCGGCGCTACTGTCTATGCGCGACGGCGCAGACACTCGCTGGCTGAAGGTTGTGGGGCGTTGTGGGCCACGTCGAGCGATATGCGGAAAGTAATAATTTTCAAGCATCCTTCCTGAAGAGCCAAGAAACCAACATTATCTCAGAATGCCAACAACATGCAATCTCGCAAACAGACGTAACTTTTAATCCTACTCAAATTTTCGAAAAATTATACATGATCTTATTTCAAAATCTGTCTTTAATTAACAGATTTTTGTTAAGGAAAAATCTCTATCCTTCAACATCGTTGTTGTGGAAAGACGCAGAAAAATGTGAACTTAGGCAAAATATTAAAACATTAGGGACTTCTACAAAAATGAGAACATTCTCTTACGTATCCTTTTCGCTTTCCGAGAACACAGTTTAGTCAAACATTTTAGAAACTTTCTTCAGAAAGGTTTGAAAATGTTCGGGCTTGATGGAGGAATATCTATTTTGCAGAAAATCTGCTGAACGGCTTTGGCACTGGTTTTGGCCTCAGATGGACGGATCGAGAGACAGACGGATAGACGCTTGGCCGTAAATCAATTTTTCGGTGTGAAACACCACAAAACATGGATGGCTTCACCATGTGTTAGAGGAAGTAATTTACTATGTATAGGGACAAGATCTATGCACTTTTTCATTACCAGTATCCAGGAATAAAGAGTTTTTGTGCGACGTTTTCCGGTGCACGATTACAATACTTTCCCTTCTTACGAAGTGAGTGGCAGAAAGTAAAATGTAAAATGTAAAATGTAATTTGATGTGATACCTAACTACTTGTCCGTGAGAGGAGTAAATACAATCCGGTAGCCGTGTGCCGGGTGGCAATGACAGCGATGAGTGGCCGTTCCAAGGAAGAGGCGGCGTCGCCGTGTGCCCGGGAGAGCGAGCGCCGCCTAATTTTAGACGCGGGCGGCGTGGCCTCGCGAAACGCCTGGCTGCCTGGCTGGCTCGCCCCCGCCCGCCCCCGCGCC